CCCCAAAACCCCAAAACCCCAAAACCCCAAAACCCCAAAACCCCTAATAAGAGGAGATCTGTTGAATCATTAATTTACTCAGTTTTAAGCTTAATTAACAATTTTTCATACCCAACTCTACACAATGGACATGCTTGCCTCATAGACATATCAAACCTTTCGAAGTTGTCTAATCATGCTTGATGGAAGATATGACTACAGCTGAGGAGATACGTAGGCTTATCTGTGTTAAAGTTGCTGTAGCATATAGCTCATTCTCAGTCTGCTCTCTTCGAAGCTTTATCATAAGCTCTTTGCCATCTATAAGTCAATTTCGTCTGAGATTTTTCTTCAAGTTTGATTTTTAAATTTGAAATTGCTTGTGCTCGATCCCTGAATATCTTTTCGACATTTGGTAAGAATTCTTCAATAAGAGCCTCTGCTGATTTGGTGTCTAATTTCATGTGCTTCATGTAGGCTTCAACTCCTAGCCTCTCTTTCTTCATATGATCGATCTGCTTCTTACTGATTCTGCCTAATTTATAAGCAATGAAGTTTCGGTTCAGAGTCTCATTGGCAGGTTTATACCCTGTTTCCTTCATATTTGCATAAAAATTCAGCCTCTGGAGGAAGCCTTTGACTAAGGATTGGATTTTGATCAATCAATTTATTAAGAATTTCTTCTGGCCTGCTACATATTCCTTTTTATCATAATCTTTGGACCTTCAGAGGGGTCACATCTTGTGACGGCTATACTTCTCAAAGCTATGTAAGCAATTCGTATGAAATATATGTGAGCAGGATAGAATTGTCTGAGCCTCAATCTTAAATTTCTCCAGTCAGATAGAACATGAGTCGTTGTTTTCTGAACGAATTGCTCCCTTTGTTTCAATCCCTTTCCATTCTTTTAAGGAGAGAGGCATTGGAGGGCGTTCAACAAGACCTCTGCGTTGGGCAAGAGATAATTTGTTCACATAATCTTCCCTTTTCTTCTCAATGTCTATGTAAGTCTCTGTGTTGAGCTTCTCAAGCAGGTTTTTGGTTCGATACACGCCTCCATTTGTAGCGACTTTACTCTCTTCATGTAGAAGTTTTGGTCTTGAACTTGAACCATATTTCTTACTGAGCCCAGTTCTTGTCTTTGGAATAGAAACACTTGAATTTGCAGATTCAGTCCTCATAATGTTCATTCCAGCATTTGCTAGAGATCTTTTTGTTCCTGTTGGAGGCTTTTTCTTGGATTTTGATAAATAAGATGGTCTTTTAGGAAGTCTTGGCTTCTGTCTAAATGGGTCTATCCCTCCTAAATTGAAACTGTTCATAATATGGTCCTGAAATGCAGCAGAGTTAATTGATGTTTCGTTGATCTTAACTTTTGTTGAGTTTATTCTGTTAATGATGGTATCTGAGGTTCCATTCAGCCTTCCATTGTAGTTTGAGTTTCCTCTGTTGTTCATTCAATATTATATATTTTGAATGGGGTTTTGGGGTTTTGGGGTTTTGGGGTTTTGGGGTTTTGGGG